AAAAAAAAAAAAAAACAAGTGTAGTTGGTCGATAATAGAAATGACGACTATATCATTTAAAATATGATGTCTCAAAAGAGAAAGGTTCAAGTCCTAGGAGGCCTATTACATAAGCTTAAAATAGAGAGACGTAGCGGACTGCGAGGTTGAGCTAGTCTTCTCGAACTTTTCGGGGCTCCTCGACCAGGCCAGCCTTCACCTTTGCAGCCTCAAGGGCGGGCTCCCACCAGAGATGATCAGTCGTGGAACTCCTTGACCATGGTGGATAATGTCATTCTTTGACCCATTTGAATCTGTTTAAAGCTACAATACTGATTCTGATTTTGTGTTAATGTAACTTTTACATGATATTAGGAAGGTCTTGATTAATTTGGTTGCAATTAAACAGAAGTAGAAAAGCAGGCACAACAAAATTTACAATATGTAAGAAGAATTTGGTTCTTTTGAAGAGCTAAATGTTGTTTGACGATTACCATTACACTGTTGATTTATTTCGGACACGATGGAGTTGGGCCACCACCTACCTATTGGGCTCAATTACGGTTTAGTAGTGGAGTTGAATGGAATGTACATATTAAGCAGTTGGATGTGTACTGCTTAATTAATTATCAACGGCTTTTTTGCGTTCACCAAATATTATTGGATTCGACATTGAAGTGTTGGTCATCCATGGTTCGCGGTGGGAGCTGTGATTCTAAGACAGGCTTCGATGTTGAAGTGTCGAAATAATGTTCAAGTGGAGGCATATGCATAAACGGGTAGTTCACATGATTATTATTATGTGCTGATGTTCTGAGCTGCAATGCTGTGAGAAGCAAAGAGTTGATATTGGCCAACGATGGCAAGTCGCTCATCATCATGTTCGTGCTTATGTTCATGTTGTTGTAGTGCTGCTGCTGCTGTTGTTGTAACTCATTATTATTAGTAGTAGTGAAATACGACAGCTCGTCATCTCCTCCGAGTTGGTCGTTTAGCACGATTTCGGGGGATACTGCTCGTGTCGTCTGTTGCTCACACTTTCTAATTGTGGTACTCTTTTCAAACACTCTACAGACCACCCATTCTTCCTGTCGAAATTAAATATGATTAGTTCGAAAACCTCAACTATATCAATAAGCATCAATGGTTATTATTATTATCTTATTATTATTGTTTTCACCTTGGTGGGTTTGAAGGGTAGCTTGTTTTCGAGCCGATATTCGTGCATGACCCAGTTGGTTTTATGGCCCTTGGGAGCTCTGCCTCTGTAGAAAACAAGTGTTTTCTTCATGCCCACCAACACATTGCCTCGTAATATTTCCTTGTCTTTACCGGTTGTCTTCCAGTAGCCCGCCTCTGTTGCTCGGTTTGTCCTTAGCCCGGTTGGGTACTTTCGATCTCTTAGGCTGAAAAAGTACCACTCTTTTTCTCCCATTGATGCTTTCGCTGCCATTATAAGCAAGAGTTATAAATAAACTCTAACGCGTTTAATATCGAAGGTAGCTAAAAACTAAGCAACAGGACTACCTGGGAGGTCCCATGGTTCACACTTGTTAAGATCAACTTCAGCAACAGCCCTTGTCGTGAACTCGAAATCGGAAACTTTGTTGCTCAGATAGTAAGTAATGAGTTCTTCGTCTGTCGGATGAAACCGAAAACCAGGCGGAAGATTTTCCTCCATTCGTTTTCTCTAACTCGAGCTGTCGATACTAAGTTTACATAGACACCGTTGGGTTAACATTATAAAGAGGTGATTGGGTATTAATGGCCTTAGCTAGCCTCCATAGTTTTCAATGAATGACTCGTACATTCTTGACGAAGAAGCTTGTGCAGGACATTAGTGTTAGTCTTAGTTTATAATGATAAATTGCAGCTAACTCTTTGACGAAGATAGTGAGTGTGAATCACACTGTTTAAATTTGCTGTTGTGGGTTGGAATATTGTCATTGCAATAGGACAAGTGTTGCTTTTCCTTATTTGCCCCTCGGTACCAACAAAAAATTACCATACATTTTTCTTTTCTTCTTAAAAAAATAAAATAAAAATAAAAAGAAAACAAGTAAAACTATGTTTGGTACTAGCGGTAAAAGCTAGCTTATAGCTTATTTGTGATTTTTAAGCTTATAGTTGAAAAACTAGTTTATATGATAAAAGTGTTTATTTCATACAATGATTACCACTTTATCATTCACGGTGAAATTCTCATATTTTTATGAATCATGTTTATTTAACATATTAAATCATATTTATTAAGGGTTTGATTGTTTACAAATTATTTTACTCACTTTTATTTCAATTTAAAATTTAACTCAACTTTAATTCAACCCCACTATCTTTAATATTATTCATATAATTAAATAATACAAACCAATCATTCTTGCACATCACATCTACTTTAATTCACTATTTATCCACTCACATAATTTTAACTACCTATCATTTTCAATCATTTATCTCGTACTTTTACATCAAATCAATTTTAATCATTTTATTTTAATACATTCTTAAAATTCTACTAACAACTAACCATACATTTTTTTCAAAATTAACCATGGTTAACCTAAATAACTCATTTTGAACAAATTATTCCATAAACAATCAAGCCCTAAACATATTCTACGTCTATTGTATTCTACACAATTTGCGGCAATCATATAAAAAATTTAGAGTACGGAAGTGTAAATATTACTGACGGTCGGCTAAAGTAGTAACCAGTTTGATGTCGTCACCATTGTTAGGTGTGTGTGGATGTAGAAAATCCTTGTTGGAAGACTCACCCACCACTGTCAGGTGTGCGACCGAGGTCAACCAACAGAGTAATCGGAGCATAGCTCCAGATATCGTGACCGACTACAAA